TGGAGACGGGGTTTCACCATGTTGGCCAGGATGGTCTCGATCTCTTGACCTCGTGATCCACCCGCCTCGGCCTCCCAAAGTGCTGGGATTACAGGCTTGAGCCACCGCGCCCGGCTGCACATTTTTTTGCATGGTGAAATCAGATGCTGTGAGCATCAGCCTCAGACAGGACGGAGATCTACATACGGAACGGTGCTGTTCTGTGCTTGTCTTCCAGCCCCTCCGAAAACGGGGTCTGTTTCTCCTGCAGGTTCGCCTCCCTCCTCTCCCTCCTGAGCCACTTCCTCTCTCTCCTTTGAGAGACTGAAGACAACAATCAGCCAAGCCGCAGCCCCTCCTTTCCTTCATCTCTGCGCAGTCTGCTTCACCTTCGTTTCCTCTCACACCCGTGGACACAAATACCCTATGGCATGCGACGCCGTCATGTCACAGAGCAGGGTCACTTGGAGGGCCACAGTTGACCTGCTCAGCCACTCCATGGATGTCTGGGAGGAAGCCGGGCTCAACCCAGCCACCATGTCCGGTGACCTGCGCACACACTTTCTTCCTCTTCGTTTCTACCCTTTCTCTGCCAGTACAGGTGGAAGTCAGGTTCAGATTTCTAGGTTTATAAAGGACTCACCTGAACAGTGAATTTGTCATCTTCGTTGGGCAGAATTCTGTACGTGTAGACGCAATTCCGATACCTGAAATAGATCAAAGAGTTTATTAGAACCCATTCAGGAAAACCTGGTTTCCTCCTAACTGAAAAGGCATGACTTCCTGACACGGCTTGAGGAATCTGTATACAAAGTCTCCGAATTTCGGAGCTGACCGTTCTCCGAGATGGAAGTGCGCCCTGATGTCCAGCAATCCTGGGCTGAGGCACTCTGATTCTCCCATCCCTTCTGCACTCAGAGAGCACCAGGAAAAGGTTGGGGGGGTCATTTAGGTGGGGACCTGGCAGCCACAGGGTCTGACCTAAAGGAGTCTGCCACTATGGAGGGCTTTCATAACCTCTCGGCTGCCAAGGAGACAGTGCAAGAGGGGGTGTTTGAAGAAGAAACACAACTCCAGTGGAGGTGAGCAGCACGGCCTGTTTCGAATGGGAGCTGGGCGCAGCTGCAGAGGGGCCAACTGGCCAGGGCAGGGCTCACCCAGCGCCTTGTTCCCGCTGAGCTCCCCGCCACCCCCACATGGCTTCCTCCCCTTGGACACTGTGCCCCGTGGATTATCTCCCAGGGGTTTGGCCACCAGCCCTGCCGAGACCTGAATTTGCCCCAGCAGCTGAAGAGCAAGTCTTGGGGTTGTTTCTGACAAGGAAGTGCTAGGAATTCCAGATTCTCTTCTCTTTCTAGAAGCTCTACCTTCCTTTGGTACAGTCATCCCCAATGTGAGGAGACAGTACTTTTTACTCTCCTAAAACCTCTGAGAGGAAAATGGAACTGCCAAGTCCTAGCACCTTGGGAGAGGGGCACGCTGGGGTGGTCCTCAGCCTGCTGACACCCTGGCAGGAGCCAGCACCCATGGACTCCAGCGGGCTGTCAGGAGATTAGGGGAAAGCCATTTGGATCTTAGGCTCGCTCTTAAAGCTGCTGATCTGTTCCCACCTACCATAATCTTGCTCCATTTTGCTACATAAGATTCTCATAAGCTTTGAAGGCTCACCTGGCCCTTAGAGGCCCCCTAGAAAGGACCAGTCTCTGTAATCAAGCCAGTACCTCAGCGTAGAAGCTCCACACACTAGCCCCTCCCAGGTACAGGCACTCCACTGAGCATTTACGTATGTTATTGATATGTTATTGTTTAGCTAGATTTTTTTTTTTTTTTTTTTTTTGAGACCAAGTCTCACTCTGTGGCCCAGGCTAGAGTGCAATGGTGCCATCTCAACTCACTGCAACCTCCACCTCCCAGGTTTAAGCAATTCTCCTGCCTCAGCCTCCCAAGTAGCTGGGATTACAAGTGCCCGCCATCACACCTGGCTAATTTTTGTATTTTTAGTAGAGATTGAGGTTTCACCATATTGGCCAGGCTGGTCTCAAACTCCTGACCTCAAGTGATCTACTCGCCTCAGCCTTCTAAAGTGTTGGGTTTACAGGCATGAGCCACCGCGCCTGGCCCTGTTTAACTAGATTTTTTAAATTGTATACTAACTTTAAAAAATTGAAAACTATACAAAAAGATATAAAATGAAAAATAAACATCTCCTTCCCCACTCCCATGAGTCCCTCTTCTTAGATTTCCTATTCCTGTTTGTAACTCAATTCAGAAATGTTAAACATAAACACAAGCTTATATATACATATCTTTTTAGATGCAAACAATATCATACTACATACACCGTTTTCTGAAATTTGTTTTTTTCATCGAAAAAGATCATAGAGGTCTTCTCAGGGCCAAGTGAGAGATTATCATTTTCATCATGTTTTACCATGTGTTATACATGTGTTGATATGTATTAGTGATTGTAGATAAATCACTTGTTAAATGACCTGGGCATTTGCTGTTTTAGTAGAGACTACCAACTGTCTTTCAATGAAGTTGTGGCATTTTTTTCTCCTACTAACCGGATATGAAAGTGTCTACTTCCCCACACCCTGCCGGCTGGCTGTTATCAGACCTTTTCATCTTTGCCAATCTGAGAAGCGAGAAAGATAACTTGCTTTAATTTGCCTTTCTTTATGAGAAAGGTCCTTCAGCATGTTCTCATGTTTAGTTATCTGTATTTCTTTTTCTGTTAATTCCCTTTTGTGTCTTTGGCTCTTTTACTTTGGTATCGTTTTTGCTTAGTTATGAATAAGAGTGATATGCTGCAGTATGTTTTGGAGTTATTTTTAACAGTTTTTGGGTTTTTTTCTTTTTGCTGGGTAAATGTTTTACAATTTTTGTGGCCAATTTTACAATATTTTATTTTATAGCTTTTGCATCAGTAGGTACTAAAAGATAACTTAGAGTAATTTCACTTCCGCGTGTCTCTTCATTACACATAGAAAAGGTGATTTTTCTCTCTCCCATGGCGTTAGTGCCCATCCTTCTGCTCCCCGCCCTGCCCCCAGAGCCTGAAGTGATAGCACAATCATCTTGCATCAGGGACAGCAAGGATGAATCGCCAGTCCAGCAACACTGTCTCTCACAGGGACACCTCTGGGACACAGAGAACCACTGGCCTCAATCCCTTTTGGGGAGCCTGCCAGACAAATGTGGAGATAGCTCAACCCTGCTGTGCTCTTATCTTTCAATGCTCTGTTCTCTTGGCACTTCCTCCTGTAGGTATGCAAATGAGGGGTGAGAACAGCCTCTTATTTGGCTGAGGGCAGCTGATTTGTGGAAGAGCTCCAGCCGGCCCAAAGGCAGCCTGTAGACAGAGAGGAAGAACGTGAGCCTGTAGACAGACAGAAAGAACATAGTCATGAAGAGAGAGGCAGAGGCAGTCGCACAGAAGGGGAAAGGCTTCCTGGTTCAATCAAGTGTGGCAGACCAGCCTTTATGGCTTTTTCACAGATGTTCTAGAAAGGTTGAACATAAAAATATTGAAACAAAGAAACACAGAAATATTGAAGCAAAGTAACAGCTCCATGTTACCAAAACAGATCAGAATTCAAAAGCTAGTATAATAGGAAGAGAAGGTACCCCTTAGACAGTAACATCTCAGCAGATGTTAATGACTCTGCATAGCCAATGCACGGGGCTGGGTGTTCTGGCCCCGGCCGCTGAATCAGTTTCAACCTTCAAGGGAAAACATACAGCACAACCCCACATGCCCCCAACCACCCAGCCACACACGAGTCATCCGTCAAGCAGTAGTACCAAACTGTATTCCACGGGTGTGGGGACTCTGCCAGGAGATGGAGGAGGGTGCTCACTTGACCTACCCAACCTTCCAGAAGTTTGTACTTCACTCTGATCCTGTATACATACACACACATACGTGTGCACACACAAAGTATGCACACATGCATATGTGTATACACACATATACACAATATCTTACATGCAAAATGTTTAAAGCAAAGATTCCACAACTAAATAGTGTTTGGCAAAGACTACACGGGAGCATAACCTGGAAAACATGCTCACTGCTCTTTGGGGGCAGTGGGTCCCGCCCAGCCCTTACCCAGCTCTTGGTTGAGACTCCTCCCAGTGACTGGGTGGCTTTTCAGAGCAAACGAATCAGGATTATTCCCACTGGAGATCTGGGTTAGGATAGCACTGGGCCCAACAGTACTTCCTTCTGCTAACAAATGAGATTGTTCCATTCCCAGATGAAGGGGGCCTTACAGCACATTTCCCATGTGACTCCCACAGGTGTGGGGTGATGGCAGGTGCCCACCCTGTGCTGAACGTGGAGGCAAAGAAGAGGCAGGGAGGTGCCTCTCAGCAGAAGGGCAATCCCAGAGCAGGTCAACCCCGAGGTGGTACAAGAAGTTCTTCTCTAATACGGGAGGACAAGCCCGTGGAAGTAGGAAGAAACACCATCGTGTTTTATTCTTTCAGATACATCTTAGCATTTCTGTATGGCCATTCCTAGCCAAATGGACATGGACAGCCAGGCCAGGAACATCCCCACCATGGAGAGACCCAAACTAAAACATTTAAGAACCTCTTCAAGTTTCTATCTCGCTTTGCTGAGCTGCTCCTATAATTGCTTTTAAATCCTTTTGTGACTCTCCTTACATATCATTTCTAATTTCTAATGGTTTTATCTGTTTCTTGATTAAGACTTGTGTTTCTGCAGATTTCTGGACAAGATGGGGTGGGAGAATGAAGGCTGGTAATCCTGCATTCAAAAAAAAAAAAAAAAATTGCACCAAAGTAGAAGGACAAGAAAATGTGTGGCAGCCTTGGGAAACAACGTGTTCACCATTCGCCACTCCAAACCTTGAAGAATCGCAGCCAGAGAGAAAGCTAAAGTTGATGAATTAAAAGAGGCCATCTGTTGCTAACCTGGACCCCTCCAGAAGGGAGAAAGCATTAACAGGTGACCCAGCTGACTGGGAGGTGAGAGGTGGAGGTAAGGCTGGCCAAGTATTATTGGGAGCCTGCTGAGCACCCCTACAACAATGTGAGGTCCAGCAGCTATTCCTTGTGCCACAGCTACTCAAAGCCAAGACCCAGGTATGAGGCACCCCCTCCCCACCCCGGAGGGAACCTGTCCTCTGTGTTTCTCACTATGCCCTCATCTCTGGCCCCACCACTGGCTGGATCTTGAATTGGCATCTCCCACCCCCATCCGTGCCAGTCCGTTTAACCCACTCCCATCTCTGAACAAACCTGATCCAATTGTTCTTGATAGTTCTTTGTCAGAAAAGAAAAATCACCAGACATATGAAAACATGTCACTGCTTAGAAAAAGGGCACCATTCTCCTAAGGACTCCAAGGAGTTACTTCCATCTTAAATGGAATCACCCATAAAAATAAATTCTGAAGAAGTCTGATGTGTGAACTCAGGAAGATTTGAGAGACCACGGCATATTGGAAATTGGAAGAATCAATTGCGAAAATTGAGTAAACCGAGATCAAGGAAACTGACCATTAGGGAACAACCGGGACGTTTAGGGTCAAAATTCAACACACAACAGAGGCAGGAAATAGCAGCTTGTGGACTGGAGAAAGTGAACGAGGACAAAGACAAACTCGAGAAAGTGGTACTGGAGGAAAAGACAGATTTTAAAAAGAGAGGGAAGACAAGAAATACAGAAGACGATC